AGTTGTATAATTCCGTAAAAACTTAATAATCATATTTGTGAATTTTATTGATTTCCGCAAATTGATTATATCTTTTTGAGTATCATTGTAAAATTTACTCACAACAACCATGAACAATTGATTGAGAGATAAATCTGGCGTTGATGATACATGGGATAAACTCTGAGAAAAAAGATGAATGAAAAAAAAATATTGAAAATGTTGGGGATGTTAGATCCCTATAACTCGCTTGATAAATGCCTTATAATGGTTTTCACGTTTGCCAGCATGGGCTGATCAGTTGACATTGAGATTTCATTTCCCATCAGGAAAATCCATAGCTGTGATTGGCTGCTGTGTATTTTAGTGTGCTATTTTCTTAACTGTCTCAAGGATGTTTCTATGATGCATAAATAACCGAGAGTTGTATGCTTGATTGTACTGTGATTGCTGGGTGTTTGTAGAATATACTTTCTACGCTTAAAAGCCTTTTAACTTCAGCTTGGTATTCAAGGTAGCCTACCTGGACGCTGGTAAACTCGTAATAGCCTCAAGCATGCTAAGTGACGAACATAACATTTTGGAGACGGTATTTTTGGAAACATAACAAAAAAACAAAACTAAAACTGGTGTCCTGTATTAGAAAGTATCTGTTGAATGTAAAAGAAGCAAAACCTTTCTTTAATCCTATTGTATAGAAAGTGATTTAGTTAGACGATCAGTTAGTTCTTAACTGAATGAAGACAGACAGAGAACAAATAATGAATGGTGAGTAATGCATAACAATTCATTATCGATCAAGAAAAACATCATTTAACAATTACCCAGTAGTGAATATTTGATCCCTGATGTAATATGCTTATTATTATTATTATTACTATTACTATTATTATTATTATTATTACTATTATTATTATTATTATTATTATTATCTTAAGGACCATTATTGATGATCAAAGTGTGTGGGAAGAGGAATGAGTCACTAAATTATTTAAGTGACTATCATTGAAGACAGTAGAATGAATCTAAATGCGTAGACTGGAACCAGTGCTCAACTATACGTGATCATACAAAGTGACAATAATAAATGTACAGAGGTATAGAGTACAAGTTATCGCTGTTCACATGAAGCTATCTGTTACATCAGTTAACAAAAGAGCTTCACCAAAATTAGACGTAAACAAACACAAATGTATGTGGGATGCTATAGATTGATATTTCGATGATTTCTTCGTTTAATGAACATACAAATCCTTCTTGGAAAAGCAATGATTGTCAGAGTAGAGTTGTGTGGATTGCCGAGTTTCACCGAATTCATGAACCGATCGATGTTAGAACACCTTTGAAAGCATACAAGTAGTGGAAGGCCATTTCATTCTGTTATGGTACTCATCACCAATGAGCACTGACGATCTCGCATATGGGGATTGAACATAGGACCTTTAGTTTCGCATGCAAATAGGTAACCTCTTTTCCACTGGGTCAGACTTGAAGGGTGGTCTAACTTTGATCAGTTCGATTTCAATAAAATAACTATTAATAACGATGAACATCAGCCGTTGTGTACACACTCTCTGGTCATTATTTTCACTTACAGTTCTAGTATTGAGTTGTGTCGAGTGTTCTCAGCCTTGAGATATTAATTATTTCTCATGAAAATTTATTTCTAAACACTATAGAGGGATTTAGTGTGATTGCAAAGCTTAGACGAACACTTGTAAATAGCATTTCCTTGTCGACCGACAATGCTAATTATTACTACTTATATCCAACGAAAAAAGAGTTACACTAGTAGATTACTCAGTAATGATAAACAGCTCTATAGATTATATAAAAAGCATTTAGAGATTACTAGAAAGTAATAGTCGATTCCGAACAAGATAAATTACAGTGTTACTATAAATTTTTTTGCAAATCTGTAGTTTTAACTTGATCACTATGTCAGAGATATCATAATTTTATGTTTAGACTCAGTTATATTATCATTTAAAGCAAAAAAACATCCTGATTATTATCTAGTTGCAATAAGACAAATAACATTAGTTTTGATTAAATCCTATAATTTGAAGTAATGAGATAGATGAATAAACGAAACAAACACACTGAAAAAATTGGATCAATGATCAATACTTACCGGATCAAAAAGGAACTCTATGACAGAATATGAATCGATTGGCCAATTAGAATCCAAAGTACAGAGTTGCCTTTATTAGAATATAAAAAGTTAAGAAAAGACAAATAGGCAAACTGACAAGGTTATAATATCATTGCGCTAAAGAAAGGATTTTTCTAACCATCAAAAGAAAAGGTAACTAGTGAAAAAAACATCTTAACAGGAAATACAAATCAATTTTATAATTAATCATTTCTATTTTTCTTTATATTCAAATAAAGTTGTCTAGTTCATTTGAATAATTCAATTTGAGAAGCTAGTGACCCCAACTTTGTGAAATGCAAACAAGACATTTGAAATATTAAATAAATTTGCATTACGGGGTTGTGAAGATTGTTAAGTTACACATTTTTGAAACCATGAATCGATCAATGTTAGAATACCATTAGAAACCTGGAAGCACTGGACGGCCGTTTCGTCCTGGTATGGGACTCCTCAGCTGTGCGCATCCACGACTTCTGCACCCCGCAGGATTGGAACCCAGGACCTTCGGTATTGTAGGCGAACGCTTGACCATCGGACCACTGAGCCGGTATCTAACGGTGTTAATGTCTAACTTGATCGATTCACAGAGTTGCGCAACATCATACACAGTCTTCGGTAGTTACTGTCTACGCCCGAACAGGTTGAACTTCACTGGTCACATCTTCCCACTAGAACTCGGAGAACATTCCTCACTAAGCTAGTCACTAGTGAGCACAGGTAATTTGCATTACGGGGTTGTGAAGGTTGTTAAGTTACACATTTTGATCGATTCATGGTTTCAAAGTAGATTGCAAACAGGGTCGACTAACTGTTCTTCAAACTGCATAAGCTACTTGAGTTGTACAATTGTATTTGTAGTTAATCTGTTTTTTTTTCAGATAAGTAACTTGTCGAGAAAAAGAATGGTATAAAATAATTAATCGATTAAAGTGATATCTCTTTGTAAATTGTTTGAAACAATCAATAATTTTTAAAACGTAAACTTTCGTGGATGCGCACTGCTGAGGAGTCCCATACCAGGATGAAACGGCCGTCCAGTGCTTCCAGGTTTCTAATGGTGGTCTAACACTGATCGATTCATGATTTCAAAAATATTAAATAATTGATGAAAATTATTAATACAATAATACAGAACTTACACTTTATCTGAATAGAAAAATTATTGTTGATATATCATTAATAAGGAGAGTAAGGTTTTATTTAAGGTTAACCAAAAAAGAATAGACAATTTAGCAAATAATTAAATATTTACGATAGGGAAAACTATATATATAAGGACTTTCATTTTCTACATGAGAAATGAATATACTACGCTACTGAACAGGAATTACATTTTCGACAAAGCAAAAAAACTCTCTCCTCATAAGTCTTTCAATTGAACTGAATAATCTTATATCTAAAATGTTTCAAACCCTACAGTATTTTGAATTTTAAACATTTAATAATCAATATAAAATAACATAACCATGAAATGTTTTTGAAGAAAAAAATACTTTGAAGAGTGAAAGAGCAAACAAAGTTTATTTGATCGACAGTATTCTACTTTTAACACGAAACATTTAAAGTCTACTTATCTTAGGATACTGGAGAAACACGTATATAATAGTTTACTTTGTCCTATACACTGTGAACATTTTCTGGCTTATTTTATATATCATCTTGAAAATAACATTTCCAGCATTGAAACTTACCATAAAAGTGTATAACAGTTGTGAGGAGTAGAATTCTTTAAGAAGTTTAATATATATTCACTTTGACGGTGATCTACAATTGTAAGCACATAAAGTAAACCATAAGTCAATATTGATAGTCATTAATTTTTGTGATTTTGATTAAATAGTAAACCACAATGAGCTTGATTTAAAAACAAAAAACCAAATTCTTTTAAAAACCAACATACACAGAATGGAGAAGTTATGCGATTCAGAGGTTGAATATGAAAGATAAATGAAAATTACTGTATGATAACAAGATGAAATTCGATATGTTAAGCATTTTGTTGAAGAAGAAAACGTGTACTTATAACAATTAGGAAAGAAATATTATTAAAGCGTGAAATGAATGCACATTGGTTGCAGTTGATTCGCACAGTAAACAGTGAGAAAGATTATCAAAAGAATGAACAGTTAATTGAATTCTTTGTAGTAGCTAATCGAGGAATACAAGATGTACACTTCATCTTGTTAGCTATTTAGCTCGAGATATAGCTAAATCTCAATAAGTGATATATATATATATATATATATATATATATATATATATATATGGATTTGGTCTCTTGTACTGTCACGGGTATGAGGGCGGTTTTCACTTCCAGGCTGCCCACACCGTAGAAGGTTATTTCTTGAGGAACCTGAAAAAGAAGGTAGATTAGTGTTGGTCTTAACGACCTGGGAGCGTGACCGCAGAGCACAAGGGACAACTGCTTGAGGCCGGTCACGCACAGCCTTTTTATGAGAAGTTTTTTGAGTATAAGCTCTGCTCTTAAACGCCCTTAGTGGGCACCCTTACCCAAGGAGACGGAAATCCGTGAAGTAGAGTGAGGGGTGACATTTTTAGGGTCGACCTTTTCTAACCCTTCCTTCATTGTGAGAAGGCAGCATCGCTGCAGATGTTGGTTGTCCGAGGGAAACACCTTACTGCTGTCACACCCCTCTGCAGTCAGCAATACGACTTCGCCCTTAGACCTTGAATAGCTGCTTTTAGTCTCATCGTTCTCTAATCGGCCTGCCTGGCATGGTAGAACCTTCCAGCCATTATAGCTCGGTTGGATCATCATGATAGGCAAGCCCGACCACCACGTCAAGGTAGCAAGCATTGTTAGGGATTCAGTATGGAATTTCAAAACACCAGGTTTTGTTTTTTATTCAATGGATAACAGAGTTATCATACGGACAAACTGATTTTTCTATGTCATTCTTTATCATAAAATGGTTTAAATTATGTTTTCTGGTTAGGGTTTTTTTAGCGAGTTGTTTTTTGTGGGATAGGGTCGACAACCGCATGTCCAACTTTCCTCCTTTATCCGGGCTTGGGACCGGCAGTATCCCCAGAGGGCCTCCAGGCGGAGTGTCCTGAGATACAATACAACATGCGCCAACCAAATCGCTCTCGATGGACACGCCTTGGAGGAGGTTGACATCTCTACACATCTAGGCAGCATCATCGACAATCAAGAGAGATCTGATGCAGATGTGAGGGCGCGAATCGACAAAGCAAGGGCTACATTTCTACAATTCAACAATATCTGGGACTCAAACGAATACCAATCAACACCAAAGTCAGAATTTTCAATACAAATGTCAGCACAGTTCTACTGTATGTAGCGGAAACTTGAAGAGCCATCATCCAGAAGATACAAGTATTCATTAACAGTTTTCTACGCAACATACTTCGGACTCGTTGGCCAGAAACAATCAGTAATAACCTACTGTGGGAGAGAACGAACCGGATTCCAGTGGAGGAGGAAATCAGGAAGAAGTGGTGGAAGTGGATAGGACACACTGCGAAAAGCACCTAACTGCGTCAAAAGACAAGCCCTTTCTCGGAACTCTCAAGATAAAAAGAAATGAGGAAGACCAAAGAACACATTACTTTGAGAAATAGGGAAAGACATGAGAAAAGTGAATAAAAATTGGACAGAACTGGAAAGGGAAGCCCAAGACAGAGTTGGTTGGAGAAAACTGGTGGGCGACTTATGCTCCTTCGGGGGTAACGGGCGTAAGTAAGCAATTAAGTTTATCACAGAATGCTTTATCTGAAAACATGCTGGCTCTATACAAGATTCTAAGTTGCTGCATAAAACGTTTGACTTCGTAAGGTTGAAAATACTAGACTTAAGAAAACAGAAGACAAGCAAATTACATTTTTTAAAGGCGATCAAATATATTATTAATTAGCCAGACAAGTTCTAAAGTAACTTGAGAACAAAGTAATCATCGTTTTAATTCATAGAGTGTTGATCAGCACATGTATATGCAAAAGAACTGACTAAAGAATCCAGGTCTTCGACCAGCCCTACAACAAAATCCCATCTTCATGAAAGTCAACGACGTTGAAGACAGAAAAAAGTTGATGATGAAGCATATGTAAGCAAAATATAACTAAAACTACAATAACAGACATATATTGAACAATTTCAGTTGGCTAACTTCCCTTCTTATTTGTAACTTAAACAAAGACAGTATAAAATAATATTCATTTTTATTAATGTACCTGGAACAGATAAGACTTCAGGAAGTAATGAAGCATACAGTTGATGTGAAATAATCGGGTCTATAGACAATTCAAAAATGGACAACATCAAACTCTTTAAGGGTAGTTTTTGAAAATGGCGAACCTAAAATTAAAAACAAAATACATAATGACTTTTTTTTAAGCAAAAACTAATTAGGTGAAATCAAGAGTCAAATAATAACGTAATTATATAAGCAACAAAGTAAAACATTAATCCTTCAAGTATATAAAAACTAAAAAACACGAATCTATACATATAAATGCGAAATTAACTTAGTCGTGGGAACAACTAAGTAACGAACATAATGTCGAGTTTATAAATATGAAGTCAGTCATTTTAGTATTTTTTTTGTACAGGATAAAAATATGATTCAAAGAGAATTAATGATCTGTTTTTGTAACTCGGATACATTCCCCAATTTAGTTTACTCGACCTACAAGATTCATAACAATTGTTTAAGCGTAGTAATTGGCTTAAGCTATTCCCTATAATGTCACTGAATACTAACTTTAATTAAATATGAGAATAATTAAGAACATTCTAGATAACTGTTTACCTATTAACTCATAACCAAGCTTCTTATTGATGAGGAGCGCTAGCTTGGTAGTCACAGTACTCACGTCCCAAACATCAGGTAGTGGGGTTCGAATATCGATGAACCTACCTCTGACTTAGACAATCGTACTATCATCAATCCTCATAGAAAAGTGTGACTCAAAACAGAATATTCAAACAAGTATTTAGGTACAGAGTTGTAAATTCTTTTTTTCAGTGATGAATACTTCAATAACTATTCTAATCCAGACTTGTCATAGACTTATAACACTAATTTACGAGACTATAATTTTCTTGTTGATTTTATTGAAAATAATACCCGATTGAGTACAAATATAAAATTTTCAGTTAAGAAATCTACTGATAAGCGTTGCAATTTAATGTTACATACTTGTTTGTTTACAAACAATTTTTTAATTGTTTACATATGTTGAAAACAACTTGTATTTTCTCATAGTAAATGTAGTTGAAGGGAGAAAAAAAAACTAGAACTGAATTTAATGTTTAAGTCTTTCCAAATAGATTGATCAACTGGTCTTTTTTATAGAAACCGATTAAGAATTTCTGTTGTTTAATTTGTATCTTTTTGATGAAAAAAAAAAATTAAAATTTCTACAAACAGAAATTGAGATTTGCTTGAATTCATTTTTTTAAGTATGAGGATATTTTAAATGTTGAGTTTGTAATAAACACATGTGACTAAGCAGTTTCATCACAGTAGACTGTTACAGTCTATTATCTTTGTGGGATATATTCTCTTTGAAACTAGATTGTGCATAATACAAAGGTTTATCTGTTGTTTAGTCAATCAACTAACACCGCAAGGAACTTAATATGAGTATGTAAAGGTACAAGTTGTTAAAGTTAAAGTCAACAATCACATCAAGTGAGATTCAACTAGATAAAAAACATCGGATCGTAAATAGTATCGAAAGTTATAGAAATGAAAATACGAAAAATACAGTTCAAAAGGAATAACTGCAAATGAACGACGAACTGTGAGGAATGATGCTAATGTTAAAATTTAGAGACAGAGAGAGACAGGTAGAGAAATTAATGTATTTGTGTCATTGTGACAGATAACGTCTAGAAACATTGTGTATAAAGGATTTGATTCTGACCGATTTGGTCTCGTGTTGTGGTGCGCGCTACTTATAAGTAGTATATGACGCGAGTGAAAACGTAATGTCTGGCAGCAGAAGATGGGGGAAGATCAAGAAAGGAAGAGTGGGAACACAATGGAATTTGTATGAAACGCTTACTTACTTACTTTCGCCTGTTACTCCCAATGGAGCATAGGCCGCCCACCAGTTTTCTCCAACCAACTCTGTCCTGGGCTTCCCTCTCCAGTTCTGTCCAATGTTTGTTCATTCCTCTCATATCTTTCTCTATTTCTCGGCGTAGTGTGTTCCTTGGCCTTCCTCTTTTCCTTTTGCCTTGAGGGTTCCATGTGAGGGCTTGTCTAGTGACGCAGTTGGGTGCTTTTCGTAGTGTATGTCCTATCCATTTCCACCGCTTCTTCCTGATTTCCTCCTCCATTGGAATCTGACTTGTTCTCTCCCACAGTTCGTTGTTGCTGATGGTGTCTGGCCAACGAATACGAAGTATTTTGCGTAGACAAGTGTTAATAAACACTTGTATCTTCTGGATGATGGCTTTGGTAGTTCTCCATGTTTCCGCTCCATACAGTAGAACTGTCTTGACATTTGTATTGAAGATCCTGATTTTGGTTTTGTTTGAAAGTTGTTTGGAGTTCCAGATATTTTTCAACTGTAGAAATGCAGCCCTTGCTTTGCCAATCCGCGCCCTCACATCTGCGTCCGATCCACCTTTCTCGTCGATGATGCTGCCAAGATATGTGAAGGTGTTAACGTCCTCCAAGGTATCTCCATCAAGCGTGATTCGGTTGGTGCATGTTGTGTTGCATCGGAGAATTTTGCTTTTTCCTTTATGTATGTTGAGACCTACTACTGCAGAGGCTGCTGCTACACTCGTCGTCTTCTCTTGCATTTGTTGTTGAGTGTGCGATAGAAGAGCCAGGTCATCTGCGAAGTCCAGATCGTCCAGCTGCGTCCTAACTGTCCAGTTGATACCGTGCTTCCCTCCAGATGTTGACGTCTTCATAATCCAGTCGATGACCAGGAGAAAGAGAAAGGGTGAGAGTAAGCAACCTTGCCTGACACCGGTCTTCACCTCAAAAGAGTCTGTTAGCTGACCTCCGTGTACGATTTTGCAGTTGAATCCATCATAAGAATTCCGTATGATGTTAACTATTTTCTCAGGCACACCGTAGTGTCGAAGAAGCCTCCACAGTGTTTTCCTATCCACGCTATCGAATGCTTTCTCGTAGTCGATGAAGTTGATGTAGAGTGGTGAGTTCCATTCAATTGATTGTTCCACAATGATCCGTAATGTAGCAATTTGGTCAGTACACGATCGATCCTTACGAAATCCAGCCTGTTGATCTCGAAGTTGGGCGTCTACGAAGTCCTTCATTCTGTTTAACAATACTCTGTTGAAGACTTTGCCTGGTATTGAAAGAAGAGTGATGCCTCTGTAGTTCTCACACTTGCTGAGATCGCCTTTCTTTGGTATTTTGATGAGGTATCCTTCTTTCCAATCTGATGGTACTTGTTCCTCATCCCAAATCTTCTTGAAGAGAATGTGAAATATTTTCGCAGTTGCTTCTACATCTGCTTTCATTGCCTCTGCTGGAATGTTGTCTGGTCCTGCTGCTTTGCCGCTCTTGATTTGTCTGATGGCCATACTGATCTCCTCAATCGTAGGTGCGCCAATATTAATTGGGAGGTCCGAGGATGCTGCTTCGATGTTGGGTGGGTTCAGTGGAGCTGGTCGATTCAATAGTTCCTTAAAGTGCTCCACCCACCTATTTCGCTGTTCGTCAGTGTTGCTGATTATTTTCCCTTCCTTGCTTTTCACTGGTCGTTCTGGTTTACGATAGTTCCCGGCGAGCTTCTTTGTAGTTTCGTACAATTGTCTCAAGTTTCCTTCTCTTGCAGCCTTTTCCGCCGTCATTGCTAGATAATCCACGTATTTTCGTTTGTCAGCTCTGATGCTCTTCTTCACTTCCCTGTTTGCTTCTGTATACTCGGCTTGCGCCTTAACTTTCTCTGCTCTTGTTCGGCAGACATTGATAGCTGCCTTCTTGTTCCTCCTTTCTTGAATTTTTTCAAGAGTATCAACAGAGATCCATTCCTTGTGATGGTACTTCTTGCGACCAAGGACCTCCTGACATGTTGAAGTGATTGCCTCCTTAATCCCTTTCCAATTGTTCTCCAATGTTGCTTCCTCTCCATTGAGTGGATCCTGAAAGGCCTGGAACCTATTGGTGAGGGCTATCTTGAATTCGTTGAGTTTTACGGTATCCCGAAGAAAGGCCGTATTAAACTTCTGTGATGTTGTCTGCCCCGTTGTCCAGTGCTTCTTTAGCTTCAATCTCATTTTGGCGATCAGCAAGTGGTGATCTGAAGCTATATCAGCTCCTCTCTTGGTTCTCACATCCTCCATGGTCCTTCTGAACTTTTTGTTGATACAGATATGGTCAATTTGGTTTTGAGTAGTGTGGTCCGGTGAAATCCATGTGGCTTTGTGAATGCGTTTGTGCGGGAATATTGTGCCACCGATGACCAGTTTGTTGAAGGCACATAGGTTTGCAAATCTCTCACCGTTTTCGTTCCTTTCTCCCAGTCCATGTCGTCCCATGATGTCTTCATATCCAGTGTTGTCCATGCCAACCTTGGCATTCAGGTCTCCCATAAGAATCGTCAAATCCTTTGGTGAACATTTATCGACGACTGACTGCAGCCTTTCGTAGAATTGATCTTTAACGTCGTCATTGTAGTCATTGGTAGGTGCATAACATTGGATGACGTTCATTGTAATGTCCGCTTTCTTTGTTTTGAAGGATGCTTTAATGATCCTGGGTCCATGAGATTCCCATCCTATCAGTGCCTTTTGTGCATGTTTGGACAGCATCAGTGCAACTCCTTGTGTATGTGAAGCGTTTTCCTCTTCATGACCAGAGTATAACAGCAGTTCCCCTGAAGCAAGTCTCAGTTGTCCTACCTGTGTCCAATGTGTTTCACTGATGCCGAGCACCTCGAGGTTGTATCTTTTCATTTCTGCTGCAACTTGAAATAGTCTCCCAGTCTCCCACAATGTACGAACGTTCCATGTACCTAAAAAAATGGTTGCTCTGGTTGTCAGAAGAGGCATCGGCCCCGTGACTTCCGAGGGGACTCGGCTTTCATCACGAGACGTCATAATTCTTCTTCCAACTCCCAGGGCAGAGTTAAAATGGTTTGAATTATTTTTTCTGGTTAGCGTTTTTTTGGCAAGTTAGATTTCAACGGAATGGGGCCGCCAACCCCATGTCCAACCCTCCTCCTTTATCCGGGCTTGGGACCGGCAGTAGCCCCTAAGGTTCTACTGGCGGAGTTGTATGAAACGCATGAATAGTGAAATATCAGACAATGGATTGATGATGGATTGAAGATTTCCTATTTGAGTGATTAACTCTGTAATTTGCGATAAATACAATTCGGTTGCCCTCACCTGTGTTCGCCTTCATTACAGTGTGTTTATATGAGTATGAGGGCGGGTGTTACTTCCCAGCTGCCCAAACCGTGGAAGGGCTGTGGTTGTCAGAAGAGGCATCGGCCTCATGACTTCTAAAGAAACTCGGCTTTCATCACGAGACGCCATAACTCTCCTAATGAAGACCTAACTTCCAGAGCAGAATTTAGATGGTTTGAATTATTTTTACTTGTTAGCATTTTTTAGCGAGTTAGCTTTTTGCGGGATGAGGTCGCCAACCCCAATCTCAACCCTCCTCCTTTATCCGGATTTGGCGTGGGCAGTACCCCCCGGGGGTCTCAGGCGGAGTTCTAGAAACACTGATTACAATTATTTAATGAAGCGCAATCACAACAGATATGTACCCAATAAAAGTTAATACTTTCATTAATTGACCCCAAGTCTATCTTTATTAACCGTTAAGCTTATTACATTGAAACACATCCAAATAGGCAGTTATTATGCATGGTTAAGTGTCTTCAAGTTTTTGAGAGATTTGTTATCTTTCAGTGCAATATATACCTGGGTATTCAATAAAGAATATGTTGAACTAGAAGATTAAAAGTAATCATTTCTTAAGAAATCAAATCATTTATTAGTAAAGCTACTACTGACTGATTAGTGAAATATTTTCAAATAGATAACAGAAAACATCCGATATCTTTCTTAAAACTATAAATAGTAATTATCGATTCAAAAATATGTAGCTGCTACACTGTCACACGAAATTAGCTTTATTACGACTTCATTTTGAAAGACAAATGTCATGATTTCGGACTACTTCTGTTTGAACTTGTTTCAACGAGTTTAAATAATCAAGCTAGATTTTGTTTTCAGTAGTTTAAAGTATGATTTGTTAGACAAAACAGAAAATGACTTTTCTAAAGGAGCTTACTTCTAAAAAAAAACTAAGCAAAAACATAATACCACACATTTTTTAAGAGACATAGTAAGAAGATGTGAATCAGCAAACTGCTAAGTTTTGATTTACACTAATCAGAAAGGCGACTATCCTTGTAACTATCGAAGACAATGGGTGAGGTTGCGTAAAATACTTAGATCGATCAGACTTAGACATTAAGACCGTTGGATGCTGGTTCATTGGTTCAGAGGTTGAGCGTCCGTGAGCAAGACCGAAGGTCCTGAGTTCAAATCCCGTGAGTAGTAGGGATTATGAATGCTCACTGCTGCTGAGTTCTATACCAGGATGAAATGACCGTCCAGTGCTTCCAGGTTTCTAATGGTGGTCTAACAATGATTTATTCATGATTTCAATGTATATAAACAATTTAGTGTCCCGTGACCTGACTCCTTTATTTATGAACATAAATATGCTATGAAATAAATCTCCTCTTCAGTTTTCGTATATTATACTTGGGCGTATGTTGTTTGTGCGACGGCCAACTCTGTGACGAGCATGACTAAGCTTTTATGGTCAGAGAAAATTATGCTAGATGATAAGTATTAAGCGAAAGTAAGCAATGTATATATCAACACTCAAATAGAAGCAATTAAGATTATAAGCGAATAATTGACAAGGTCGAAAGACATGTGAATAATGACTCAGAAGAATGAATTAGTTATAATCTGTTCAAAAGCTGGGACTAGCTTTCTGGGCTCGACATAAAAGTACATATATACACTACTGCAATAAGTTCACAGAAAACATGACACCACCAACAATCAATCATACCATATTATTTGTAATACACCATAGGTCATAGCAGCATCATATATGATTGAAGATTTTTATTAGATGGAATCGGTATACACACATACAAAAACAAACTTATCACATATTATGCTAGATGACTCATATCTAGATTTTTATAGGCTGCGAATTGAAGAAATGAAAAAAATCCAATGTGGTAAATCTTCACAATGAATTCAACAACTTATGTTGTACAATCGTATCCATAGTTCGTTAATTTGTATACCTAAGTTCATAAGCTATTGCATTGTCATTGCATCTATCATGTCATTACTTCTCTGTAATCCCTTTCCAATTGTGGTAGTTATTTGTTCTTTGAGTGAATCCTGTAAGGTTTGTAGCCTGTTGGTGAGAGAGCAATCTTGAATTCACTCAGTTTGTTAGCATCTTGAAGGAAGATTCTTAAACTTTCGTAATGCTGTTTCTCCAGTTGTTCAGTGCTTCTTTAACCTCAATTTTATATATTGTCCGTTAACAGGTGGTAATCAGAGATTTGTGAATCTCTCACCATTTTAGTTTCGTCCCAAGATATATTCGTATCTGGTGTTGTCCACACTGACCTTGGTATCTGCTGTAGATGCCGAGGCATATATCGATTAAGGACAGCATTCTTATGACTGAAAAATATCTTGAATTCAAAAGATCTGCCAGCCAACACCAAAGTCAGAATGTTCAACACAAACGTTTAGTTCTTTTTCATGGAGAGCAAACTTAGAGAACTACTACAATAATTATCTAAAATATACGGGTATTTATCAACAGGTATCTATTCAAGATAATCCTGACACTATAAGCCATAAACGATTGCGGCAGAGAATAGACCAACTTCCAGCTAGGGAAGGAATTATGAAAAAGTGACAGAAGCGAAAAGAACACATATTAAGGAAATAACCGAACTACATCACCAGGAAGGTCCTAACATGAACTCCTCAAGTACAAAACGAAAATAAAGGAAGCCTGCGAAACACAGTGCGCTAGAAATCGAAAGCAGATAATCAAAAGAATGCATAAAACTTGACAACAAATGGAAAAAAAAGAAGCTCAGGACAGAGTTCAGTGAAAATCCCTATTTAGTAGCTTATGGCTCTCACAATGAGGATAATATACATATAAATAAGTCAGTATCTTGTTATCAGACATCAATATTTGAATTTGACTCATCATTCTCCTTTTTTGATGAACAAAGTTCATTTGTTTTGTAAAAAAATAAATCGATTAAATATATGCCTTAAGGCTAAAAAAAATGAACTCATCATGATTAAAATCATTTATGCATATTTTATATGATAAATGTGATTTATAAATTTTATTTTAAACGAGGCAGAAAAAGGATATTTAATAATAGCTTTTTATTAGTTAATTCAAAAGTAATTATATCATATTCCTATCAGAAATTATGGTACTTTTTTTTTTATTCAAGTCTATGTAAACTTCAACAATGCTACAGAAAAAAAAAACTTTTCATTGATTAAACAATGAAAATTACTTTAAAATTACATTTTGTTTGATGATCAAGTGTATTGTTTGTTTTTTTTTTCTTATACTTGTTTTACTTATTCTCTGTTTACACAATTATTTAAACAAATAAATCATACTATTGACATATAAAATAAATATACACATTTAACGAGAAAAAAAGATAAAAAAAAAAACTTACATATGAGATAAAAAATGCAATTACAAATAAATCAAATAACCATATACTTTGATTAGAAGAAGAATGATGAATGGATTGTATAGATTTTTGCAAATTTTCAGTTATACTAATCAAAATAGATTCATTTACACTGTGAAATCTCTTCATCAAATCCAATTGATACTAATTTCAAAGGTAAAGAAACAAAAAAAAATTAGAGAAGTTATAAGGCGAAAATTCACATTGAACAATGAATTGAAGAAACAGTAAATTTCAAAAGCAAAAATATGAAAAGATGTTTTGCTTAAATCACTTATCGAATCTATTGGATTAGTGTAAAAGGAGAACTCAGGAATAACATGTACAAAAACACTGTGTACTTAATAAGCCGGATGATGAAGGGGGGCGAGGAGGAGAGAGTACTAACAAGACTTCGGTAAAGTAACAATGTTAAACATTTTGAATCCCATTATATGAACAAAGGAAGATAATGTATCACATACCATATGATATAATCATAAACAAAGAACTGAACTCACTCGCTTTAACAAAAGAGAACTGAAAGTGCCGGTCACTTTGTAAATAATCCATTGTAATTATTTAGAAATTAAGATATCTGTAAAATCTTATCAATGCGACCATTAAAAAAAAGCAATATTGATGAGACGGTAGAGAAAATTCATAGCCAAGGTAGATGATGATTATGGTGGAGTTTCGTCCTCTGAGTTGGATGTTTTGGTTGTAGAGCTTTGATTGTTCTTCTGAACAACATCATCAGTTACAACTTCAGGTAAAAGTGAAGTAGCTCATCCCATCGACTTCGATCCTAAATGATTAATATTATTATTGACCTTTAACCTGTTATTATCTGTATCTCTACGTTGATTGTATTCCCCCTTTGGAGTGATTTTTGGCCTTATATTTGTCCGTGGATTTTTTTGATTGGTTAATGAATTGGATCGATTTCGATGTGTTTTTTGATTGGCGATTGACCTGAGTCCCAAGCTTCTAAAAATTCTCTGCTCTTCCTAGCATTTCCTCTATGCAAAATTTCAACATTTGATAATGGGAAGATGAGTCCTGATGTTTGACTGTTGGTTAGTGTTCATGAAGGCGAAGAAGAAGGGGACGTTCACTTTTTCTGATATAGTGCTTTTCGGAGTGACAACAATTTATGTTGTAGATGATGTTTGGATATTTTTTGTCGTTTTGTCCTTTGGTTTGGATAGGATTGATTGAAGTGATTTCGCTGGTTCGTGTGCCATATCTTATTAAAAACGGATTTAGCAATCTCATTGCGATTTCTAATGTTTTTCTCATACATGTAAGATGATCTGATTGCTAGTTTCTACAATTGATTTCGATTTTGCCGATGAATTGGTGTGTTGTTTATTCAATTTACCAAAAATTAAAGAAATCATTAACAAATATGAGACCAAGAATCAGATCAAAGGGAGATATCATCTAAGAAAAGATAGAGTTAATGGCAGGTTAAAGGTCAATAAAAATAATGATTCAAGAATGAAGTCGACAAGACGAGCTGCAGTTTATGTGTAGGGAAATTCTAATACTTTCTTTCTACAAGGAGTTTGGCCGATGATATTGTTCAGAAGAACGATGATAGCTCCAGGACTAGACAATCCAACTCAGAGGATGGAACTACAGCATAATATGTTTATGTAGGATAGGCGAACAGTCAGTCAGTTGCAACGTGGAAATACGTACGTAGCATAGGCGAACAAACATAAACATATCATTCCAGTGGAATAAATGGCTGCTCCTTTCCAACTTTAATTTTTATTGTAACAACAATGAGTAAACATTTTAATGCATTTCGATGTATTATCGTTTCTAATGTTAAGAGAGAAAAATCACCCAAACACTATGTGTTCTGGTAATCTATTGGTTGTTATTGGTGATTTATACTTAATATATAGATTGAACTTTTTTGATTTTTATTTTCTGAATTTTCCTTTACTGTGATGATATGCAGTGTAACAAATTAAAATAATACTTATTTATGCCTAGTTCTACTACATTACTGGTTTGATTTAAACTCTGACCTGGGAGTTGAAAGGTGATTCTTCCATTTAGAAAAGTTATGATGCTTCATGGTGAAAGCTGAGTTTATTCGGAAGTCACGAGGCCAATGCCCCCTTCTGAAAACCAGGTCAACAATTAATGCAACAAATTCACATTGTTGATGACTGGAATTAAATTTCATATTATTTAAAAAATCTTTTCAAATTGCCTGGACAGAAAAATGTTGAATTCAAAATATCAGTGAACAATGTGAAACATTAATGTAAATCAATGAAATCTCTAATAAAATTTTGAAATCGAACAAGATACTAACGACTTTCGACAGAAGAACAAAGAAGAAATGTTTGGGATTGGATAAAATAGTTTTTATGCTGTACTTTAGAACACAATAATGATAATAATAATAATAATAATTATTATTATTATTATAACACTATTAATGTGACCGCTTATCGTTTGAACTAATGAAGAGTGCAAAATTAACAAATATTTATAATACTTGTCATTTTTATTTTAATTAACATTTTTATGTCAGTCATATTTTTGAAATTTAAGAAACAATTTATTTAATTTGATTGTAATGATGAATTTTCTTTTTCATGCCAACAATTAGAAACACTTATTTATGAAAACAGTATAAGTTGACACAATGCACAAAATAATACTGGTTAAGGTTAGTTAAACTGTACAATGAGTCCGAAAATAAGAATTTATAGAATAAGAACACTATGAAAAAAAATAAGTATAAGAGGAGTAGAAAGGTTTAAAGACAGAGAGAGAGAGAGAGAGAGAAAATCTATCTTAGGTTAGCCTTGGTTTATATGGTTATGGTGTCTCAGTAAAAAAAGAGATGATGAATGAATCTGACAAAAATAATTGAATGAAAACCAAGTTTTAATCGATGCTTTCTTTGTGTAATTCATAAACTAATGCTCATTTATTCATGATAAATAATTAATTCTACAAATTATTTAACACCTTTATTTCATAACTTGTACAAGCACACACAGATATATATATATATATATATATATATATATATATATATATATATATATATGAGTAAAATAAAATAATTCGTTAGGGTCATATTTAAAACAATCTATAGACAATAATTTACAAAAAAAGGCAAATGGATATTTATACTGTTTCAATAAAGTATTGTCAATAATTCATGTGAATACACGTTCCTGAATATAGTATAAAATAAATAAATAATGCTATACGATATTTCCAGAATAATTTTTACAGCAAGAATCAGAGATGAGTCAAATTATTTAGTCAAATTACCAATAATAAACGGTGATTAGAATCGAACACACCTTAAATGCAAATAAACATATTTGTCAAATTAAGTTTGTTTTAATGATATGCTTAATAAGTATAATATAGCAGGCTGTAGATAGAATAGTTTTTTTTATCAATGCTGTATAGTGTATAAGCGAATAGTTAGTTAGTTAGAACACAAGAATAATTATAATTTGAATATTGATTCTGACTATTAAACTTGAACAATTTCAGGTAATTCTATACTTGATCAGAAAGACTAAATAAAATGTATGAATAATTATGCAACTTGATTAGCAATGAACACAAATGAGCCTGTACACAATAAAATACATTGTTTTAGCATTGTTGTTTATAAACAATGTAGGAACTGGTGATAAATGAACATCCATACAACTGGACACTGAGAGCCAGTTTAGAAAACAAACAAGAATCAAATGAGTTTTATTGATAAGTGATGACAGCAATAGTGGGATTTCAATATAGAAATTGTCATTGAAAAGAAACTACAGAGAGAGTAGAGTAAAACTTATAAGTATTGAAACTCATGCTTTAAAAGATCGAGAATAAATGTAAGTAAGCTAGTGAAATCGATTTTGAGCCGCATCACTTGAAGACTTCAACCGTTCATGACAATTACTGTGACGGAAAGAACTAGGAAGTCCAACGATTGACGACTTCGTGAATAGATGATACCGCTTGGTTTGGCCATTTCCAGCGTACGTCTAACCTATTTCTATTGCATGGACTTTGGTTTAAGCAAAAAAACAGAGTGGCTCAAAACCAAGAACACAAAAACAGAGTTAGTTAATGAGTTATATGGTTTGTAAAATGTCAAGTAATCTAAAAGTCACTTCTACAGACGTATGTTAAGGTTTCAGATAACAGTAATTAGTGAACAACTCTGGTAAGCGTTATATGTAAGCAACTAAAAAGACGTTTGAAAACGAAAGTATTTTTAAGTAACACTGAATACAGAAAAAACTCTGTGGATCAGTTTGTATCAATAGAACGACGCAACCTTTGCAACCAAGAATGATTCGAAAAATTAATTACACCTATTGTTACTTCGATATGATTTCGGGAAACGCATTATGTTGAAAATATATTGCACAGTCACCAATAAAACTTCAGTGAGCAACACCTAATAAACCAAAGCAACAAGAGAGTTTCTTATTTACAATAGTAAACTTTATGTGAATGAGAAGGATTCGATTTTATTGCAACAAAATTAAGATATGACTAACAACCGTTAGCATTACATTAACAAAAAAAACTGTTATCAATTTTTAACTGACCTCTTGAAAATTAATATGTTCTGCATTCAAAACATCGTATTGCCAATTTAGTTGACAAGTTGGGTCAGAAACAAGGTCATTAAAAGCGTCATTTAATATCTTGTAAATAACCTATGAGGGAAAGGAAATAGCATATTTTTAATAATGGAATTAGTCAATAGTTCTTACATTTTCTGCCTTTATACTGAAAGCCATTAAAAAAAGGGGAAAATAAATTTTGACAGAAAATTAAAAGAACACACAAAAGAAATGACTATTACTAAAAAAAATGTTATGAAGACTATTTATGTTTAGGTAGGCGCATTTTGTGATTGGAGAGAATTGTCATATCATTTATACACAATACTATATGATACAACACTAACGCTGATTAGATTAATTCCACACTTTAAAAACAAGATATTATATATAAGTTACTTAAAAGCCAACTGAAGTGTTTTCACGTTAATTCTGTAACTTAGAGTAGTATATAGATATAATGCGTTGAACAAATATGGAGAATAGAGACCAAAGTCAACTTAATTATATATGCAAATAACTTACTTCCGAGTGCTGAATACAGTCTTCGTTACTTTTATGTTCAGCGGATGTTTCAGAATCTAGTAGCGATAGAATACATAAAGTCATGAATAAAAAGAATGAAAAACCTGTCATCGTTATTTACATACGAGAAGTACAACCCGTGTATTGCTACAAGACCACAGTGACTTTACATTGAAAACTATCTGTTTGGCTATCGGCCTGTGTTTATAAGTTTAAAAAACTTTGTACTCTGTGTATAAATATGTTTGACAAAACTCTGATTTTGTAATACTTCTTGATGATAGAGATTTTAGACTGATATTATTTTACTTGACATGGTTTTACTTGTGTGAATTCGTACATGGTATGAATTCATTCATATGTACAAAATAATTAAAGGATGATTTATTCGACTTTATTCACAGGAGGATTTTATCACACAATTATTCCATTCAATATTTTTTTTTAATTCAAAAATCTTACTACATGAAAAAAGTTCCATGTTTTTCTATGTCAAAAAAAAAATAGTCGGTTATCTATCTACAAGTATTTTTATGCACTTTAACTTCAGTACTCTATCTCTGTAAGTCTAAATAAATGAAAACCAGAAATGTTATATATTTTTATATGAATCATACTTTTAAACTAATGGCAACTGTTGGCTTGACAATTAAAGTAAACCAAAAGAGACTTGATAAAAAGTCAATTAAGTTCATCCATATATGTAGTCAAGAGAAATTATTCAAAGATAATGAATGAGCTTTCTGATTATATTTATATGGGAAAGAAAATAATAAGTGACTGTAAAATTTACTGTTAATGAAAACTTGAGCTTTTAAGCATTTAGGGATAAGAAAGATGCTGACTGTGTTTCACCTACTTTGGTTTGGCAAACTAAGTAGTATCACTACTTTTTACACTTAGAGTATGACTTAAAGCTGAGTAAACAAATCTGTACCAAGTAAACGATTTAATAATACTGCTCAATATATATCGTGATTATATAAAAACACAACATCTACATACCGACTAAAATCAGTTTAAAATAACATGAAAAATCAATTTCATCCAAAACTATCACATCTAGTACAACATATCAGATGAAAAATACTGTTATGATGAGCAGTAATTTCAGTGGACAGGTTGAAAGGCTGAATGTAATGGGACAAACAAGGTATGCTTGAAATCTTAATACGATGAATGAATACAGTTATAACCTCATTCTAGAAATTTTTTATACCAAATCAGCATCAAATTGAAGTGCTAGGTCGCTGGTGAGTGTTGAGAACGGATAGACAATGACCATTGATATACCATGCATCTGTTAATTAGAGTTAGAGTAGATTTGTAAAACCTTAGCGCCATTTTTTAACGACAATTAAGCTTAAGTTCGACCTGAATGCGTTTTCGAATTTAAAAAAAAGTACGTAAAACGTTTATCGTGTTATTTTTGAATACCGTATAATCATGCATCATCGAGAGATAAATTGTTTACAAAGTTAATCAACTATGATTCTTATTATTCACTTATTTCAAATTTCCTATACTCCGATTGCTGCAAAAAGTTAATAACCTACAGTCGAAATTTCGAAAGCGTATTGATCAAATCAAACTGAATAAGGCGAACGTAAGGTGACACTTTCATCAATGCACACTGAAAAAGGTTAATTATCAGCAGTCTTTGGGTAGAATTAACTGTGACAATACACATGATAATGTAAGGGAGAGTTGTATTGTTATTTCACTGCCTAATAACGAGGTTGCTCTGAATCGGACAGTCAGTGCTAACTCTTACTGATAGCTCACCATCATAGCTCCTGAAATTTCACGGTTCGTAGTTGCCCGGAAACACAAACCATTTTACTAACCCATATTATATGTAAAGCTATTGAGGAACCTCAAAATCAATCAGTTATCTATTCCTACGGTACACCTTTGACAAACGATCATTTAAAGCAACTCTGGTCATGGAATGTTTACCATGAACTTATTTATATACTCAGTTGTTAGTGAGCCTGACTACATTTAGGCAGAAATATGTGATTGAAGCATACAACGGAAGAGACCAATTTCAAACTGAAAAAGGAAAACTTCATTTGGATAACAGTAATTCACGAAACAAAATCTACAGACGTTTATATTTCTAAAACGATAAATAAATTACTACTTAATGCTGAAATAATTAACTGTGTGAACAGGCAACTTACATGATGCTTTCTCAACTTTTTCATTTAAAATAGCACATCTCTGAGCAACTTCTGCAAAACGTGCCACACCATCTATACATAGAAAAAAAACCGATCATCGAATGTAGAATATTATACAGAAACATCAGTATCTAGCAATTAGTTTTAAAATGACATGAAGAGAAATTCGGGTTACTAAAATATTCATACTAACTTCTATGATGAATGTTAGGTTTCATTCGTATTTCAACTTGACCTCCAATGCATATAAATATCGAATGAATGACCCCAGAAAATAGAATCAACCAAACTATATAATCATTAATTTTTATTGACATTAAAACTAGTCTTTTATGTGTAAATCTATCTTTTAGTCACTTCCAAATGAATCTACCTATTCATCTATACAGAGGTATGTACGTTGGACGAATAAACGACACTATATAGAAGAATCTCAGAATATGTCCCGGATAATTTAATCCTAAATAGTTCCAAAATACATAGCAGTGCTATAGGAAAATATATCGAACATTGGTCACTGAGTAGACCCTAGTACTGCCTTTCGAGCAATGAGTAGACCCAACAGCGGCAGACTTCTATGTTACACGAAAGCAGTGGCTGTTTGTTGTCTAAAACTCAACTTATGTAAGAAAAAAGAACTTGTGTTTCACTTGAAGCTTCCGTGGTACACGATTCACTGTTGCGCTTTTAATTACTACAGCAGAATAAGAATAAAAAAATTGACCATTTTACTCTCAGTAGTATAACAGTAAGTCCAATAGGTTTTTGACCTTCCAAACACTGTTTGTTTGAATGCTTCAATGTTGACTGACCGTCTAATAAAGAAGTTTTCACAGCCAAATGCACTGTAAAATTTTATCCTACTCCTCATGACAATACATTGTACAAATTCACGCCATCCTTCCAATCTTACGTCGTTAACTTTATGTCTGAGGATTGTCCGATGATTTCAGCATTTACACAGAAGGGGTCGGAATCGGAATCGCAATCGAAGCTAAGCATATAAGGAAGAATATAAACTAGCTTTCAGGGGGAGAACACAATTATAAATCTAGGTTTACACATCGAGTGTAGTGAAAATGATGAACAAAGCAAGAAACTTAAAAAAGTAGGTGAAACTAACCTGAAAGCCATGGATGCCCAGCGGAACTCGGTATGCAGGAACCAACAAACTATGAATTAAATATAAAGCATTTGAAAATAATAAGGAACTACACTGAAAATAATACTATCAGAACTAAAAAAGTAAAAATAAAAACAAAAAAATTATGAGGAACTCAGAATATGAGGGGTCATTTTGAGAACGTCAACATATTTATCGGTAAGTACTTTTCAATAAAATTTACCTATTCAAAAGCCAGTCTAAAAGCAGTAAGGCACTAATTAACAACCTAGTTAGCGTAACTGGCACTACAAGTATTCTCCTTGCTTGGAACTTCATCCAGCTAAACCAGGCTATGTAGAAATGGTGGAAGACGTGGAGGTATTGCAGCTGCAGAAAACTTTCAAGGAAAAGATAGATCTCCATTGGGAAATAATCTACAAGGATTAACGTAGGTCGACCGACCTACTATACTTATTACTGAAACTGATAATAAAAGTCAAACTTAAGAGCTATCATGAATCTATTTTTCAACAACAGATGTTTTCACCGGCTAATAATAGTAAGTACTAATATAAACAATTATGGCTGAGTAACAACGGAGAAAAGGAATAACTTATACACGTAATTAAGTTAGTAGTGGTAAACTTTACTGTTCATATTTCAGTTGAAGCTATAGTTTATCACTTCAGACGTAACTTATTGTTTCTATCTTAAAAATTGATGAAAAAGTAACTGCTGCTACAAAATATCAACTACAGATTGGTTTCGGCATCATAGCTGAAGAGTGGAGAAAAAAAGCTAGCATAGGAGTTCTCCTCAACCTGATATCTGAGCATGTTTGATACAAAACTTTTTTCACTTAAATTTAGAAATTAATCAGTTACTTCGCCTCAGCCACCCTAAGGGGGAGGGCTAATGAAATTACCGACTTATCCAAAACACGAAGCACGTGGAACCAGGTTTCAGTCTACAACTAATAGAGTAAAATTTGAACTCCTTGACTACTAAACTACTGCTTTATAAAAGCTTTAGTACGTAGTGATAACGAAAGGCTGCTCGCAAAAATACGCAGTTAGTTCTACTGCTAAAGATTTACTACTCGAAAAAACTTAAGTCTACAAAATAACCCATTAGCTTGTCTGTATAAAATATTAAATAGTGCTTCAAGACATTGCAAAGTCAGAAGCAAGTAGTTTACAGTTGAATACATAATACAATGGGGTGCAAGGAGCCAACTGGTACCATAAATTTGTGTATACCTAACGTTTCTTACTAATGATACGTTGCCATTCAAAGTCATAAGACAGCTTGGTGCAAATGTGAGTTAGCCAAAGTCAAGAAGTTGAGATTATGGTAGTTAAGAGGCATCGGCTTTTTTATCGTCAATTTTAATCTTAATTCGAACAGTCTTGTTTTAGGCATTTCTGAACTATACAGTCAGTTGTAAAAACAGTTACAGAGACTTGCAAAGGCGAAAGGTTTTTAAACGTAGGTTTGAGCCCAAACTCGAGATTACGATCCAGATATCTGAGGACATTTTATAAATTTGAGTAAAGCTTTGACAGTAAAAACTGAATGTGCCTAAGAGCTCGAAAACTCATGCCTATTTGCAGTTTATTTCTTAAATTTTGAACTATTATTGGAAAATCGACAGGGTAAAAACTTGGGGAATGTCGGGAAGACCATATCTCCAAACGACATGGAAATCTATGAATTTTTAAATAACTTTACGCAAAACCCTGAAATTTCCATAACGTTGCGACACTGGTACCGATTTTTATTCACAATAGCTT